AATAGATTGAAGAGAAAGTAACACTTCATTGTGTATATGGTTTTATATAGTTTTTATTTTGAAAGCATGCTAATGTTCTGTATGTTTTTCAAAATAAATCAAACAAAGATGGGGAAGAATTTATAAAACTGAATGCAAACATAAACAATGGAATCCACGGTATTTCAAATAAATAACATAACCAAACTCAAAGATTGTTGATGAAAATAGACCTAATAAAAGTTGCTTTTGAACTACATATTTTGACATGTACTGTAATAGGCAGAATTCTAGGATGGTTCCTGGCTTAGTTTGTTTTCTGCTGCTGTAACAGAACCACAGGCAGGGTAATTTATAATATATAGAAACTTATTTAGCTCACAGTGTGGAGGCTGGGAAGTCCAATACCCATGGGATGGCATCTGGTAAAGACCTTTGGGTTTCAGGACAAGCAATGGCATACAAAAGAGAAAACTTCAAGGAAGTGAAGAGCCTGCTGGCTTTGTGACAACCACTTCTCAGGATAACTAACCTACCCCTGAGATAACGACATTAATCTATTCAAGAGAGCACAGCCCTCCTGCCCTTCACACCTCCCATTCAGCCCCACCTCTTAACTTGTCCCAGCATCACCTCAAAGATGCAAAGTCTAAAGTCTCATCTAAATTAGATATGTGAGACTCAAGGCATGATTCACCTTGAGGCAAATTTATCTCCTGCTATAAGCCTGTGAAATCAAAACAAATTATAGACTTCTAAAATACAATGGTGAGACAGGCCTGGGACTGCCATTCCCATACCAAAAAGGAGAAACAGGGAAGAAGAAAGGAGTAACAGGCTCTAAGTATAGGTTCAAAACCCAACAGGGAAAACATCATTTAAGTTTTAAAGTTTCAGAATCATCTTTATCTCCATGTCCTACATCCTGTGCACACTGGGGCAAGGACACCAGCAGCTTTCATGGGTTGGAGTCTTATTCCTGCAGCTCTCTTAGGCTGGGGTTGAATGCTGGTAACCTTATGTTCTGGGGTCTTGGTGGCGGCGGTCCCAGTCTCTGGGCTCCATTTAGCACTGCCCTAGTGGGGGCTCTCTGTGGCAGCTCCAGCTCTGACCCCTCTTAGCCCTTACTAGAATCAACTTTAATGATCCGTTTTTGGCAATACAGGCTTTTTCTAGCCTGTTCCTTCAAACTCTCTTAACCTCTATCCATTATCCAGTTCTAAAGCTGCTTTCTCATTTTAGGTATCTGTTATAGAAACAACCCCACTTCTCAACAGCAACTTTCTGTCTTAGTCCATCTTCTGTAGCTATAACAGAATACTGCAGACTAGGTAATTTATGATAAACAGAAATTTATGTATTTCATGGTTTTGGAGACTGGGAAGTCCAGTATCAAGGGCCAGGCATACGGTGAAGGCTTTTAGGCTGCCTCATCCCATGGAAGAAGAGTGGGGCACATGCAAAAGAGAAAAGCACGAGGCACTGCACCTGATTTATGATAACCCATCCTGAAATAACTAACCTGCTCCTGTGATGTTGAAACTAATCAGTTCACGAGGTGGAGCCCTTATGACCTAAATAGCTCCCATTCAGCCCTATCTCCTAACACTGTTGCACTGGGAATTACATTTCAACATGAGTTTTGGAAGGAACAGTCAAACCATGGCAGCTCCCAAGATTCCCACACCCTGGTGTATAAACCCTATAAGATCCCTCCCTTGGAGTATTGTAGGAATCTATGAATATGATGGGATAGTTGCTCCATGTGGGCAAAGTGATGGGATACTCATTCCCATTATGATGTTATGTTGCTTAAAATTTCCTCAGAGCAGATTGCCCACAGACTACCCGCTACAGGATTCTCCTGACCTTGGAAGAGCAAACTGACAATGTGGCAGAGAGTGGCAGGTGGCTTTTAGGGGAATGGAAAATAGCCCTCAGTTGACAACCATTGAGAAAGTAGGTCTTTGTGCCTACAACTGCATGGAATCAGTCAATAGCCTAAATGTGCTTGGAAGAGGACCCCAAACTCCACGTGAGAGCCACAACATGGATAACATCTTGATTTCAACCTTACAAGATCATGAGAACCCAGATGCTTTGTGCTCAGACTTCTAGCCTGGAGAATTGTGAGGCAATAAATGGATGTTTTTAGTTGCTAAGTGTGTAATAATTTGTAATGTAGCATTAGAAACCTGGTATACATACTCTCAGTATGAAGAAGGAAAAAGAATGACCTAAGGTTAAATTCTTTTTAGTAGGTTTGTTTTTCATCATCATATGGGTATAACAAATCTCAGACTTTTGCATGTATTGTATATTTGAGCAAATGAGTAAATGGATTGATGTTGGAGGCCAAAGCTCTAGCTGTAGAAGAAGTGAGATACAAGTATGGATTGGGGAAGGGGAAAGACAACATTTTGGAGCTAAAAGGAGTAGAAGATTTTACTATCAACTCGTTTCTAAAATATATACACTAGAGCTGAGATTTCCAACATATGAAAAATATAAGACATTGAATATTTTTCTGCTTGTTGAAAAAGCTTAGAAGCAATGCTAACCCAACAGTGATGAATATATTTAGCACCCAGATCTTGATTTCTAAATACAAGAAATTATTATATTTAGAAATATTATACCTTCTCTGTGCCAACCCTAGAATTGGCCATTTCTCCATGGAGCCCTGGATCCTTACCTTCCACAGGGCTCCGTGGAGAAATGGCCAGTTCTGGGGCTGGCACAGAGAAGGGATAAGATAAACCTGGAACATCTAGTTGTACCATAAATTAAGAAAACACTAAAAACAATTGATGTTGACAGGGCATGTCAAGAAGACACAAGAGTTACCTTAATCATCAAAATAGGCTGGATGTGGTAGTTCATGCCTGTAATCCCAGCACTCTGGGAGGCCGAGGCAGGTGGATTACCTGAGGTAGGGAGTTTGAGACCAGCCTGGCCAACATGGTGAATCCCTGTCTACTAAAAATACAAAAATTAGCTAGATGTTGTGGCACATGCCTGTAATTCCAGCTACTACTGGAGGCTGAGGCAGGAGAACTGCTTAAACCCAGGAGGTGAAGGTTGTGGTAAGCTAAGATTGCACCACGGCAGCCCAGCCTGGACAACAGAGGAAGACATTGTCTCAAAATACATAAATAAATAATAAACTGATAGATTATAATCCATTGAAAAAAATCAGAATCTATGAGTTCTAACTGAAGAGAGACAAAGAGAGAGAGAGACAGAAAGAGAATGAGAGAATAGATAAAAAATGAAATATATTTATTATAGTTAAAGGATAATAAATATAGAAAGAATGATGAAGTTAGAAAAATCACAGTTTGCAACTATGGGAATAAAAAGTGATCCAGGCAAGCATCAATAGATCCTAAATCTAAGCATAAAGATTTGATGATAAATAGGATACTTAGAGCATTTCAAAATATCTCATTGCAAATTATTTAACTTCATAAGGAAATAAAGTAGCTATGATAGAGAAACTAGACAACTCTAACCAAATAATCAAAATTAATGTCAATAATAATAAAAGTTCTCCTGAGAATATACCATCACTTATGTAATATTTCAGCCAAAAATGCATAATCTGAATTTAATCATAAGGAAACACTGGATAAATACAAATTAAATAAGATTCAATAAAATAATTTACTGTATTCTTCAGATATATTATGTTGTAAAAGACAAAGGCTGAAGAACTCTTCCAAATTAACAAGTCTAGAGAGGCATGCTGCTAAATATTGCAGATTGGACTAATGACTAGGGCGTTGGAGGTGGGGGTGAAGAACCTGCTCTAAAGGACATTATTGAGACAATTGACATTGAAACACGGACTGTAGATTCATTAAAAGTATTGTACCAATGTTAAATTTCCTGAATTTGATAACTATACTGTGGTCATATAAGAGAATGTTTCTGGTCTTAGGAAAGACACCCTGAAGTATTAAGGGGCAATGAGGCATGATAAATGCAACCTATTCCCAAATGATTCTGGTGGGAAAAAAACATATTTTATGCACACACAGAATAATAAAGACAAAATGTTAAACAATTTAAGTGTGGGTAAATGGTTTATGGGCGTTCTGTGTACTACTGTTACTTTCCCAAAAGTTAAACATTGTTTCAAAAAACATAAGGTTTTTTCACACTAAAAATTCTTTTTATATGCCATTTATATTGGTGACAAAATATTCCACCATATATATGTATCATAACTTATTGACCATTTTGTGATTTACAGTTTTTTAACTTTTAAAACTAAAAATATTAATAATACTGTGATGAACATCCTGTTTGCATCTCTGATTATGTCTTTGGCATAAGGTTCCTAGAAACTGAATAACTGGGACAAAGGATTAAAACTTTTTAAAGGTTATTGAGATACACTGTCAAAAGCTTTTGTAAAGCTTGAATACATTTGTTCAATTATTCATTCATTTATGCCAATTTACAGTGTTTTGTGAGCCTCCCAATACAGAAGATAACTTTTCTTAATATTTTCTGAATGTGTTGGCAAACTTATTATATTTTTCTTATTATATACATTAAGATTGAACTTCTTATATGCTTACTAGCCATTATTTTTTGTTCCAACTTTTATCTTAGGTTCAAGGGATACATTTGCAGGTTTGTTACATGAGTAACTTGTGTGTCATGGGAATTTGGTGTAAAGATCGTTTTGTTACCCAGGTAATCAGCATAATACCTAACAGGTAGTTTTTTTTTAATACTCACCCTTCTCCCACCAACTACCCTCAAGTAGGCCTTGGTGTCTATTGTTATCTTCTTTGTGTTCATGTGTACTCAATATTTAGCTCCTACTTGTAACTGGTAACATGCAATATTTGGTTTTCTGTTCCTGCATTAATTTGCTTAGGATAATGAGCTCCAGCTCCCTCCATGTTACAGCAAAGGACGTGATTTTCTTCTTTTTTAATGGCTGTGTAGTAGCCATTAAAGTAGGATAAAGAAAGTGTGGTGCATATATATCACACTTTCTTTACCCAGTCCACTGTTAATGGACATGTAGGTTGATTCCATGTCTTTGCTACTGTGAATAGGGCTGAAATGAACACACAAATGTATGCGTCTTTATAGAATTATTTATATTCATTTGGGTGTATATACCCAGTATTGAGATTGCTGGGTCAAATGGTAATTCTGTTTTAAGTTCTTTGAGAAATCTCCAGACTGCCTTCCACAGTGGCTGAACTGATTTACATTTCCCCAGCCGTGCATAATCATTCACTTTTCTTCACAACCTGACCAGCATCTCTTCTTCTTGACTTTTTAATAAGAGCCATTCTGACTGGTGTGAGATGGTATCTCACTGTGGTTTTGATTTGCATTTACCTAATGATTAGTGATAATGAACATTTTTTCATATGCTTCTTAGCCATGTGTGTGTCTTCTTTTGCAAAGTATCTGCTCATGTCCTTTGCCCATTTTTTAATGGGGTTGTTGGTTTTTTGCTTGTTAATTTGTTTAAGTTATTTATACATTCTGGATATTAGACTTTTGTCAGATGCATAGTTTGCAAATATTTTCCCCCATTTTGTAGGCTGTTTACTCTGTTGATAGTTTCTTTTGCTGTGCAGAAGCTCTTTAGTTTAATTGGGTTCCACTTGTTAATTGTTGTTGCAATTGCTTTTGGAGTCTTCCTCATGAAGTCTTTCCCAGGGCCTATGCCTAGAATGGTATTTCCTAGGTTTTCTTCTAGGGTTTTGATAGTTTTAGGTTTTACATTTAAGTCTTTAATGCATCTTGAGTTCATTTTTGTATGTGGGGAGAGATAGGGGTCCAGTTTCAATCTTCTGCATGTGGCTATCCAGTTGACCCAGCACCATTTATTGACTAAGGAGTCATTTCTTTATTGCTTGTTATTGTTGGCTTTGTTGAAGATCAGATGATTGTAGGCATTCAGCTTTATTTCTGAGTTTTCTATTTTGTTCCATTGCTCTATGTTTGTTTTTGTACCGGTATCATGCTGTTTTGGTTACTATAGCCTTATAGTATAGTTTGACGTCAGGTAGTGTGATGCGTCTAGCTTTGTTATTTTTTCCTAGGATTGCTTTGGCTATTCAGGCTCTTTTCTGGTTCCAAATGAATTTTAGAATCATTTTTTCTAATTCTGTGTAATGTATTTGGTGTTTTCATAGGAATTGCACTGAATGTGTAAATTGCTTTGGGTGTTTTTACAATATTGATTCTTCCTATACATAAGCATGGAATGTTTTCCCATTTGTTTGTGTTCTCTCTGCTTTCTTTTAGCAGTGTTTTGTAATTCTTATTGTAGAGATCTTTTACCTCCCTGGTTAGCCATATTCTAGATATTTTATTCTTTTTATGGCTATTGTGAATGGGATTACATTTTTGATTTGGCTCTCAGGTTAGACATTATTGGTGTGTAGAAATTCTACTGATTTTTGTACACTGATTTTGTATTTTAAAACTTTGCTGAAGTTGTTCATCAGATCTAGGAGCCTTTGGGCAGAGAATATGGGATTTTCTAGGTATAGAATAATATTGTCTGTGAAGAGAGATAGTTTGGCTTTTGTTTTTCCTATTTGGGTGCCTTTTATTTCTTTCTCTTACCTGATTGCTCTTACCTGATTACCTTTTATTTCTTTCTCTTACCTGATTTCTCTTACCTGATTGGACTTTCAGTACTATGTTGAATAGGAGTGGTGAACGTGGGGCATCCTTGTCTTGTTCTGGTTTTCAAAGGGAATCCTTCCAGCTTTTTTCTGTTTGGTATGATGTTGGCTGTGGGTTTTTTATGAATGTATTTTATTATTTTGAGGTATGGTCCTTTAATGCTTAGTTTGTTGAGGTTTTTAACATGAAGGGATGTTGAATTTTATAGAAATCCTTTTCTGTGTCTATTGAGAAGATCATGTGGTTTTTGTTTCCAGTTCTATTTGTGTGATGATCATATTTATTGATCCATATGTTGAACTAACCTTGCATCATAAGAATAAAGCCTACCTGATCATGGTGGATTAGTTTTAAAGTGCTGCTGGGTTCAGTTTGCTAGTATTTTGTTGAAGATTTTTGCATCTATGTGTATCAGGGGTATTGGCCTCAAGTGTTCTTTTTACATTGTGTCTCTGCCAGGTTTTGTATCAGAATGGTGCTGGCCTCATAGAATGAATTAGGGAGGAGTCCCTCCTTCCCGATTTTTTTGGAATAGTTTCAGTAGGATTTATACTAAACTCTTATTTATGCATCTAGTAGATTTCAGCTGTGAATCCTTCTGGTCTAGAGCTTTTTCTGGCTTTTGTTTGTTTTTCAATTACTGATTCAATTTTAGAACTCATTATTAGTTTGTTCAGAGTTTTTGTTTTTCCTGGTTCAATCTTTAGAGGTTGCATGTTTCCAGAAATTTTTCCATTTCTCCTAGGTTTTCTAGTTTGTGTGCATAGAAGTGTTCATAATAAAAGCCTTGAAAAACCTTTGAGGGTTGTATTTCTGTGGGGTCAGTGGTAATATCCCCCTTGTCATTTCTGATTCTGTTCATTTGAATAATCTCTTTTTTTTCTTTATTAGTCTAACTAGTGGTCCATCAATCTTATTTATTCTTTCAAATAACAAACTTTTAGTTTCATTGATCTTTTGTGTGTTTTTTCTCATCTCCATTTCATTCAGTTCAGCTCTGATTTTAGTTATTTCTTTTCTTCTGCTAACTTTGGGGTTGATTTACTTTTGTTTTTCTAGTTCTTCTAGGTATGATTCTAAATTGTTAACTTGAGATTTTTCTAACTTTTTGATGTGGCTTACTAGCCATTTTTATTTGTTCTTTTAATTTTCTTCCTACCTTATCTGCCTAATTTTAAAGATATCATGGATTTTTTTAACCAATAAATTAACACATTAATTTGAAAATAAAAGTCTACTGATTATTCATTATTTCTTTATATAGAGGACATATTAATACTTTGCTACATTTATCGCAAAAGAGGCTGAATGACTTGGCTGCTTGACTTTCAACTATACAACACCAGCCTTAACATGAAGGTTCAGCTGAGCAGAGAAGATGCTGGCAGGCCACAGGAGTCTTAGTAAGCAGGGCCAACTGATTGAAGGATTAGATTATAGGAAAAAGACAGTATTTGAACAAATATGAGGGTTACAAGAAACCTTCCCTAGGAGGTATAGTTCACAGGCCTAATTAATTCTATGGAAATAGGCAGTGACAGCAATCCCTGGCATGTAGCACTGAAAATACACCCTGGCAGAGGAAAGAGAGCGTGGTAAATTATGAACTGCTTTTACAGCTTCCACCCAGAAATGACACACATCACCTCTGCTTGCATCTCTTTGACCAAGAAAGTGGCCCTCCAAAGAGGGTGGGAAAATGCAGTTGTATCATGTGCCTAGAAGGAGGAAGGAACCAGAATATTTGTCAATAGCCCTATGACTTTCATAAACACTATATTTATGAAAAACCTACCTTTATGCAAAAATCATTACCGTTTTTTCACCTAATTTTTTCCCGTTACATTAAAGAAATTCAATTTCTGAATCAATGTGGAACGTTAGACACTAACAGGGATGGGAGGGTGGTGAATCATAATACGGACGCTTTGTAAACTGAAACCTGTGACTGCGTACTTTTCCTATGGGTGTAAATTCTGAATAGAGTAGCCTGGAGACAGGCAGAGGGGGAGAGATGAAATGTCTTCTTACCTTCATTCGGGCCAACAGTTCCTCTGTTTCAGAAAGAAACACATATATAGGTCATTGGAAATGTTTTTTAAATCCAGTTTTATCAATTTGTGATTTATATGTATATTAGATTTTGGCAAAATTTTGATTATTATTCTTAGTTTTTAGTATTATTATGATTGTCACTTTTTTTCTGGATTTTATCTAATTAATTTAATAGGGAATTGGTAAAAGCTGCATAAGTCATTTGAAAATTTTATTAAATTTTTTATGGCAGTATTGTATAAAAATCCTTGAGGGATTTGAATGTCATTTACATTCTTCATTTTTGGTAATTTTTTCTCTGGATAAAGTGTTTACCTCCTTTGATTTTGATTGCAAAATATATTTTTTTAAATGACTAAAAATTATTAAGTATAAAATTTAGAACCTCCAAGCTAAACATTTCAGAGAAAGCTTTGGTTCTCATCATTTACTGTATTGGTTTGCTAGGGCTACCATAGCAAAATACTGCAAACTGAGTGACTTAAACAACAGAAATTTATTGTCTCACAGCTCTGGAAACTGCAAGTCTAAAATCAAGCTGTCAGCAAGACTGAGTCTTTCTGAGGCCTGTAAGAGAGCACCTGTTCCATATGTTTCACCTAGCTTCTGGTGGTTTGCTGGCAATCCTTGGCATTTTGGGCTTGTAGATGTATCACCCTAATCTCTGCATCTGTCTTCACATTGTGTTTTCCCTATGTGTATTTCTGTGTCTGGATTTTCCCCTTTCATAAAGACAAGACATATTGAGTTATTGGCCCAACCTTCTTCAGTATAAACCAGGCTTGACTAATTTTTACATCTGCAGAAATTCTATTTCCAAATAAAGCCACATTCCGCAGTACTGAGTGAAAGGACTTCAACAGTAAATTTAACTAATAACATTTACTATATAGTAGACAGATCTCAGGAATACACATTCAGCCCCCAACACTCACCTCATATCCACACACTTATGGTCACCCTTCTAATATAAAGGTAATTTGAAAAGACAAATAGGAGGCAGAGGTAAGAAGGACAAAGAATTTTCACTGAACTCTTGTAATGTGTCAGTTAACATTTAGGCCTTTGAAGCGTATTGTGTCAAGGAGATAGGCACAAATAACTAAAACTGAGATTCATAGTGATTAAGTTACTTTCCAAGGATCAATTAGAAGCTGGATTCAGATGTAGATACGCCTGGCCACAAAGCCCAGGCACTTTCCCCTAGGCACTCTCTTTACTGCTCTGCAAAGAAAAAATATTAATAATAATGATAGTACTAATGACAATAATTCATAGAAATATTTTACTGAAGCAATTACTTCTTCTAGCAGAAACAACGAACAGACTAAAACAATCCGTGACATTTCTGACTCAAAGCTTCAATTCTGCCTAAACATTCACAGCAGGATTTTCCTTCCTACAGTTGAATAGAGGTTAATTTCTAAAAGATAAAGGGGTAAAAAGAAACAAC